GCTCCAAGTATAGTCCCCACAGGTTCGAGAGTGATGTTGGCTTCCAATTTTACCATGCTCTTCTGCGATTTGAATGGTCTAGGGCATTTTGGAAAAGGTGATGAGATAGCCCTTTAGTTCATTTGCTGTTATCAGGATGGCAGTTGATGGCAAGGCAGCAAGCCGGCAATATCTGCATATAGACAACAAAATAATTTACATTGACAAACTTCTTCTTTTCATTACCCGAAAGCAACCCAAAATGAGGAAATTTGGGTTCATGAATAGTTTGCTTTTTTTACTGGAAAATTTCGGCATTTACCTGCGAACAGTTCCCAAAAGCTGTAGTGAAGTGAGATAAGGTGTATTATTGTTGTCGCTGATAGAACAGATAGTTATTGGCGATACAACCCATTCTTAACAACAAAAAAATTAATTAGAGATTAATTTACTCTTTTGCTTTTATTTTTCCTGATTTGGCGCTTCGTTTGCCACCATCTTTTCACATCCATAACAAAACATCCAAAACATTCTATAAGCATTATTTCGTGTCAAGAAAACCTGAAGCGTGGAGGGATAGCACATGAATATGTCGAATTTGCATCTCAAAACGTTCCCTCAAGTGTCAAATTGAGATTTAGGGGCCATACCTCCGATCACATAGCTCTGTTTTACGAAGAAGAAGGCGTGCTCTTCAGTGGTGATTGTATTCTTGGTTAGTCAGTTAAAAAGTATTTTTTTTTTCCGAAAGACGTTCTTGTTTTGCAGGAGAAGGAGCAAGTATATTTGAAAATCTTAGTGACTATATGCGATCTCTGCGGAAGCTGTTGGAACTACCCTCTACAGTGAGTACATTGGAGATGTATATGTAAATCATTCCATTTTAATTTTGCAGGCATTGAATTTCTAAATGTGAACATTCTCGCTACAAAAAGTCGCATGTTAGAAGTGCGAAATCCCGAATGTAGTTTTTTAAAGAATTCATCACGGCCTTCTCACACTTCTTATTCTTGCTCAAATGAACATTATGCAGTGAATCTATCAAAACGCCTCATTGTAGCTGAAGCAGCCTGTTCAGGTTCATTGAAAATACAGGAAATGTGGATTTGTAACATTTTGTTAGATATCGTTCTCTCACATAACGCAAACTTTTACTAGCTGCAAATTCGATTTCGGTTTATTCCTTGTGAGGGCGAGGAATAAAAGGTGTGCAATCGACAAATAAGCGGAAAGTAGTTAGAGATACCATCTGAGAAGTAACCTTCTCTGCTTACAAGTTTTCTAAAACTGCATTGCATGGGAGTTATGTATATCCGTTTTGATATTAAAGAGAATGGGAATGAATTTATCGCATCTTGGCTTATCTTCTTTCAGGTAATTTGCCCTGGCCATGGCCCTATAATTAAAGATGCAAAAGGCAAAATAGAGGAGTACATCGAAAGACGAGAGAAGAGAGATCAACAAATCTTGAGCTATCTTCAACAGGTCAGTTTCCTCATATTTTGGACAATTCTTCATTGCACTCAGTTTCATTATCTCTTTGCCAACGGTTCCGTATACATAACACAACTTTGAATGAACATATAGAACTCAAACCATCAAATGAAATTCATATCAAAAATATTTTATTCTCAACTCTTTTCTCGCTGCTTCTTATGTTTGAAAATAATAATATAAGTACTCATCCTATGGTACTGGCTTGTTGCTAAGATTCACATTGCAACTCTGCATATGAATAATACTACCATCTTCTGCTTTCCAAGTTTCTTGAGATCTATCGCTTGCTGTCTAGTTTATAGTCGAATGATAATCTACAATAATTTATGAGAGTGCGAGTAACATGCTATTTCCTACAGCGAATATCATCAATCAGTTTCATTCACCTTTGTGCTTCTTGAGCGTTGAATTGCAATTACTACACATTTGGAATTACAAACTCTGCTTGCAATTGCCCCACATTAATTTCCTCAGCAGGTGCCCTTCATCTTCAATTGAGAATTGAGCACCCCATTCGGTCAAGAATCTGTCTCAATTATTTTCTTTTTGACTCATTTTATCGGCTACTTTTTCGTGTTTCAAGTGGGGGAGGAGGGGGGTGCTTGGCTTGCTCAACTTGCAGCATCTCCCTTATTAGATATTTTGTCATGACAAATCACAGAATTACTAATTATAGTGGTACGAGACTAATGTAAGCCGCGCCAGATAAAATTGCAGTCACTTTTATTGGTAATCGTAGCTGATCGCAGCCAAGCAGCACAGAGTGTCTCAGTTAATGAAGTTTTTGAGAAATCTATAGTCGTCTGTTAATTTACCAATGATTTTCTCTAACCGTTTAAGCTGGTTGTTGAAGTAGCTGCTTAAATCTGGATAAACCAGCTT